TAAGTCAATCAGAGAAAGACAATTATCATATAATTTCACTGATATGTGGAATTTTTTTTTTTAAAAGATTTATTTATTTATTTGAGAGAGCGAGAATGAGAGAGAGTACATGAGAGGGGGGAGGGTCAGAGGGAGAAGCAGGCTCCCCGCCGAGCAGGGAGCCCGATGCGGGACTCGATCCAGGGACTCCAGGATCATGACCTGAGCTGAAGGCAGTCGCTTAACCAACTGAGCCACCCAGGCACCCTGATATGTGGAATTTAAGAAACAAAACAGAGAGCCCTCAAAAAATTAAAAATAGAGCTACCCTATGACCCAACAATTGCACTACTGGGAATTTACCCCAAAGACACAGATGTAGTGAAAAGAAGGGCTATACGCACCCCAATGTTCATAGCAGCAAGGTCCACAACAGCCAAACTATGGAAAGAGCTGAGATGCCCTTCAACAGATGAATGGATAAAGAAGATGTGGTCCATACATACAATGGAATATTACTCAGCCATCAGAAAGGATGAATACCCAACTTTTACATCAACATGGATGGGACTGGAGGAGATCATGCTAAGTGAAATGAGTCAAGCAGAGAAAGTCAATTATCATACGGTTTCACTTATTTGTGAAACATAAGGAATAGCATGGAGGACATTAGGAGAAGGAAGGGAAAAATGAAGGGGGGGAATCGGAGGGAGAGATGAACCATGAGAGACTATGGACTCTGAGAAACAAACTGAGGGTTTTAGAGGGGAGGAAGGTGGGGGGATAGGTTTACCCAGTGATGGGTATTAAGGAGGGCATGTACTGCATGGAGCACTGAGTTTTATGTGAAAACAATGAATCATGGATCACTACATCAAAAACTAATGATGTATGGTGACTAACATAATAAAATAAAGTTAAAAAACAAAACAAAACAGAGGATCATAGGGGAAGAGAAGAAAAAAATGAAACTAGATGAAACCAGAGAGGGAGACAAACCATAAAAGACTCTTAATCATAGGAAACAGTTTTGAGGATTGCTGGAGGGGAGGAGGGTGGAGGGAATGGGGTAACTGAGTGATAGACATTATGGAGGGCATGTGAGGTAATGAGCACTGGTTGTTACAATATAAGACTGATGGATCACTGACCTCTACCCCTGAAACCAATAATACATTATATGTTAATTAAAAAAATTATAAGCACATATTATCAATAACTATTGTAATCAATGGAATTTTGAACAAATATAATCAAGAAAATGAAATTAAAAAAAAAAAGTACTCAGAACTTATGTCTGAAAATCACTGCCTATAGTAATAAATCCATATTACCCAGTATAGCAAGGTAGGGTGGCAGAAAATGTGGGGGCAGCAGGCAAAAGGAAAAAAGATTATTTAACAAGTTGACCCATGATGAGGTACTGGCCACATTTATTCTTTTACTAAGTACCAAATGTTTTACATTGTTTTGGGGCCTGCACAAAGTAAGCATTCATTAAATGAATGTTCACTCATTTCAAATGTTCATTTAAACTTAATTAAAATTATAGAAGTATAATTTTGGGCTACATTTAGATATACTCATAACACGTATTTTAAAAAGACATTCCTGAGTCCTAGTCTAGATGTACTGAAGTGGCATCTCTAGAAGTAAGTCCTGTAGAGCTCAAGGTAAAGTACCTTTAACCAGTAACTCATGAAGTTCTGATACACAGGTTTGAAACCATTAACTAAATATCAGTTATCAAAGAATGGTCTGGGGACCCTGTGGGGTCCCTGAAACCTTGCAGGAGGTCTGTGAGGTCAAAACTACTGCTACAATCATTTTAGAGGGGGAAAAAAAAATGAAAAGAAAAAAATTCTTAATTTTTGTGGTCCAAAGATAAGTATTTTATAGACCATATGAAAATGGAATCATCCATATTCTTTTATTTGACCTCTTCACATAATATAATAAAAATCTTTCCATATCAACAAATCAATAACCTGGTATTATAGTGTACTGACATTCCATATTTACCTAATTTTCCCTATTTCTGAGTAGTGGTATTTTCTCCAGTTTTTCATTTTTATAAATAATCTCTAATATATACATATACCTGTGTACCTGTCCAAAATTTCTTTAGATAAATAGCGAGGGGTGCCGGGGTGGCTTAGTCGGTTAAGCCACTGACTCTTGATTTTGGCTCAGGTCATGATCTCGGGGTTGTGGGATCGAGCCCTGAATTGGGCTCCGTGCTCAGCGTGGAGTCTGCTAGTCCTCTCCCTCTGCTCCTCCCCGACTTGTGCACGTGCACACGCTCTCTCACTCAAATAAATAAATAAAATCTTAAAAAAGATAAATAGCTAGAAATGGAATTGCTGATTTAAGGATATAAATGTTTACTTAGCTCAATACCTGGCAATGTTAATTATTTGTCAAGAAATCTTTTTTTTTTTTTTAGGATTTTATTTATTTATTTGACAGAGAGAGAGAGAGCACAAGCAGGGGGAGTGGCAGGCAGAGGCAGAGGAAGACGCATGCTCCCCGCAGAGCAGAATGCGGGGCTCGATCCCAGGACCCCAGGATCACGACCTGAGCCCAAGGCAGACGCTTAACCGACTAAGCCACCCAGGTGCCCCGAGAAATCTTTAAAAAATATTTAAATAACCTTATTCCAACTGCTCTCTATAAAGGCTGTTTTTTTTTTTTTTAAAGATTTTATTTATTTATTTGAGAGAGAATGAGAGAGAGAGAGAGAGCATGAGAGGGGGTAGGGTCAGAGGGAGAAGCAGACTCCCTGCTGAGCAGGGAGCCTGATGCGGGACTCCCGGGACTCCAGGATCATGACCTGAGCCGAAGGCAGTAGCTTAACCAACTGAGCCACCCAGGCACCCCTCTATAAAGGTTTTAATTAACACTTCTACCAGTAAGATTTCTTACATCCTAACCATCAATGAGTATTACCATCCTCTAATCTTTACCAATTTTTGCTGGCTGAATTTGTATTTCTTTGGCTATTATTATTTTTAAAGATTTTATTTATTAATTTGAGAGACAGAGCATGAGCGGGGGGTGGTGGGGATAGGGGCAGAGGCAGAGGGAGAAGCAGACTCCCTGCTGAGCAAGGAGCCTGACATGGGGCTCTTTCCCAGGACCCTGAGTTCATGACCTGAGCCTAAGGCAGATGCTTAACTGACTGAGCCCAGGCACCCTTTTCTTTGGCTATTATTAAATCTTACACAAAGAGAACCAGTTTCTCTGGGCATAAAAATAATTTATTACAAGTGGTCTTCCTTAAAAAGACCTTATTCAGGTTGATACAGAAATAAACTAAGTGTTCTCATTAGTTCATTTAAGAAAAGGAAGGAAATAACATTAAGTACTCAAATACTTCCTGGTCGTCACCTAAATTATAAATTAATCACCAATGTTTTTTGTTTTTCTTTTTTCCTTTTGTGTTCTCCAATAAGCTAAAAAACAAAACAAAACAGAACAAAACAAAAACCCCGAACAGTCTTGGATTATTTTAGACAACCACTGTATCTTTCTTTTTTAAAAAGATTTTTAGTAAGACTAATAGACTAATGAAAAATTAGGCATTTTTGCATGCCCAAGTATTTGGAGAATGAATCAATTATTTATGGAGCATCTATTACAGGGCAGGTACTGCGCACAAGGAAAAGTCTTTCTGCCCTCATGGGACTTGTATGTTAATGTGAGAGACAGACAATAACTATAGTTTCTAATAAAGATACCACCAATTTAAACTGAATAAATCTAAACAGCTTAAAAGAGTAATAAATTATAAATAACAAGAAACATTTTATAAAAAACTTAAGAGGTATCAGGAGACAAAGAACTGTTTTTGGACATCTACCATACAGTTGCTCTTTTGGATACATGGGTTGGTATGTAGCAGTCTAGAGGGGGCACTGGCTGACTTAGTTTAAATTCTGTTTACTGCAAATTGGCACTGTTAAGTCACAGAGAATGTAAGTCTTTTTTAAATAGGGTATTAAAAGACGTCACAGAAAACATGGCCTACTTATAGCTAAGTTGACAAAGATGGCTTTCTTCATTTTATTACAACATGAACCGCCCAGCTGGGGTGAGAAGCTTCAAATCATGTCTGTGGCTGGCAGAGTGTGGACTGGCTCACGAGGCTCCACTCCGAACCCCCTTCACAGAAGAGCTTGCTACACCTCCCAGACTACTCTTCAGCTCAGGCTCCATGTGGGGCCTAGCTTCTCTCAAACAGAAACAATTCCTTGAAAACTGAAAGGCAGGAAGAGATACTAGGTGGAGACTGTGTGTCTGTTTTTACCAGTGAGTCCAGTTAAGGGCATCCGAGGTTCTGCAGCAGGGGCAGCGGAGATTTCAGCGCCTGGTCCTTAGCTTCCTTCCCAGTGAGAGACAGAGACAGGGCACCCCTCTTACTACCACAGGTTAAATCCAAGACAGTGTGGTCCTAGAGCCACTCACGGCAGCGGACCTTGACTTCTCAGCTTCCTGGTGGTGGCAGAGCGAGCCGGTGCTGCCACACAACCGGCGCTCCGGGAGACTCAGTCAGCTCCACTGAACCTCCCAAGGATTTCAGGAGCACCTGACTTTTTTTTTTTAATTCTAGTGTAGTCAACATATAGTGTTATATTAGTTTCAGGTGTGTGATTCAACAATTTACAAGCACCTGGTTTTACTGTATTAAATCTTTGTTAGAACAATGGGTTCTTATAATGAACTCTTGAGGATGCTGTTTAAAATGTCTAAAAAAATCTTTTGGTTTTGCTATGGGACTAATGAAGTCAAGATAAAGTAATCTTTTCCTTAAATAAAATAAGTAATTACATAAGAGGTATTTTTTTTGGTGAAAAGTTGCAGAAGTGTGGATAAGAGTATCTGCAAAAGTCATGGACATGATCTTTAGAAATCTAAAATTTTGGAGTTACCTCAATGTCCCTCAGTGATGGACTGAGAGAGTAGTATAAAAATTGTAAACAAATATTATAAATAGGAAAGGGATTAAAATATTTTCTTACTTGATTGCAGCAAACACATTATCTCCACTTTGAACAATTATGCAGTTTTTCTTTGCTTCATTTGTACCAACATATACAGGAAGTTCATCAGGAGAATCCCTGTTTAAGCAAAAGATATTAAAAATTTAGCTGCCCATAATCTATCTGGCAAGTAGAATTTTAGGCTTATACACAACAATTTATGTCTGTAGGTTTTTAAGAAATTGGGACAAATTTGCCAGGTTCCTAAGAAACTTAAGCTCTAAGTTTCTTAGGAATATCTACAACAAATCTTACTTATATAATAGATCCTAAAATTAAAATTCTTAGACCTAGTTACTTTTATACCTAAATACAAAGAAAGGGGGAATAAGGCCTGTCAAAAGGAGGGAAAATTATATGCGATCCTCTCTACCAGTTTTATAGTCTGTGGACAAAAAAAAAAAAGGTGGAGAAACTATATATATATATATATATATATATATATAAATCCTTTTATTTTACAATCAAGGAAACACTGAGAGATAAAATGACTCAGCCAAGGTCCTAGTAAGTTAATGGCAAAGCCAAAAGCAGAATTCATATAACTCAATCCTCAGCCCTGTGTGCATTCTATGGTACCACAATCCTTCTTGCTAGGCATGTTCCTTCTACTTCCTCTATTATCCTACAGTTAATCCTTAAACAACAGCATCTCTACTGGTAGAAGTGGACAAGGTATTTTTATCTCTCAAGCTACTTCTATTTCTTAACATTCCAAGCATCTTGCATGTATCCATTTAATCCTTTTTTTTTTTTTTTTTTGGAGAGAGAGAGAGAGCGTGCACAAGCACAGGGAACGGCAGGCAGAGGGAGAGGGAGAAGCAGACTCCCCGCTGAGCAGGGAGCCCGATGCGGGACTTGATCCCAGGACTCTGGGATCATGATCTGAGCCGAAGGCAGACGTTTAACCGACTGAGCCATCCAGGCACCCCCCCCCCCATTTAATTCTCTTAATATTCCTGTTAGGTATGTACAATTATTATCCTCATTTTTACAAGAGGAAACTGAGTCACAGAAAGTCACAATGACTAAAGATGACCAGCACACAGTCTCTCAGATAATAGAACCACTCTGACTCCAAAGCACATTCTTAATTCTATGGCCCCTGGAAGCACATGGCTAACTTAAGTGATGGCAACTCCAGATTATCTTCCTTGCGCTAAAAGAGCGCTCCCAAACCCAAAAGGTAAAAAAAAGTTTATAACCACAAAGGAAAAACCAGTGAGGTTCAACTTAAAGAGTTCACTCATCCTAAGGCAGGTTAGAATGGTAATATCAAGAACATCAGATGCCTATGTATCCACCAATAAGAGGAAAATATGTCCTTCATCTTGGGTGAGTCCAGTGAATGTCTATTCATACTCACTAGAAGGCCCAGTAGCTGCATTTTAGAGAAGAAAAGATCCTTTACCTGAAATACCCCATGTGGAATTGAGTTTTATTATCTCCAATAATAATGGTCTGGAACTCAGGAGGATCATAGTAAAATCTCCAGTGAAGGTTAAAATTCAGGCTTGCTGATTTTTTCTTCATTTTATGTTTTCCGGCAAGGATATCATAAGGACCCACTAATCGAAGTCCAAGGGTTGTGGAAAGTGAATCTATAAATTAAGTAAGTTTATTTAGACAGAAACTTTCTGAAGGCAGATAGGAAATAATGTCTTTTATTTGTAAACTATTTCTAAGCAATTTTCTTAAAAAAAAAAAACGCTTCCAAACTAAAAGAGCTTCAGTTACATTTGAAGACAGTTATAAATACTCAATGAAAAATCAGAGCAATGAAAATGTGGCACTTACATTTAAGATTTTCTATTAAATTTATCACTGATTACATTTCAAACATACTGCTATTTCTTATTTTGGCCAAAGTAAGACTGTTTTGTATTCTCATGGGCACATAAGAGCTTCGAACACTTACCTTGTCTCATTACTATGTTGTTGTTAGCCTCAAATATTTGTAGCACACCCATATTAAGGGAGAGACAAGATAGACAGTAAGTGAATGTGCATTAAGTAGGGTAAACAGTTTATTTAATAAAAAATGTATTTAATGAAAACAGTCCTTTCTCTTCCCTCTACCTCAGCTAACCATCACTCTCAATTCCCTTGTCTCTGGCCAACCCTCATCCTAGATGATTCCATCTTCTTTCTCCCTCCACAGATCACAAAGGGAGATTGCTAAATAAAACCAGAGTCATGGAATGTAAGCGTCAAACGTTTGTGTTCAAAATATGCTTTTATAACATCAGATGGGTCCTTGTTGCTTCTTTGTGAGAGAATAAGCACTCCAGGCAGGACCTGGATATGTGAGGAGGTGGGGATGGAGAGAGGAAGAAAATTCTTCGAAGCGGTAACATCATGAATAAAGGCCTAGAAACAGTTTATTTAGAAAGGGGAAAAATAGTTCAGCTTTGCTGGAGCTTAGGATAGCATACACCAATTTCTAAAGCAACAAAAAAACCTAAAGTCACCCATCTCATTAGCCTACAGGTAACAAAGTTAATAGTCTGGTATACAATAACAATGTTTTCCTCCCTGTATGAATATATATAAATATAGAGATTTTTTTTTTTTAAAGATTTTATTTATTTATTTGAGACAGAGAGAATGAGAGACAGAGAGCACATGAGAGGGGGGAGGGTCAGAGGCAGAAGCAGGCTCCCCGCCGAGCAGGGAGCCCGATGCGGGACTCGATCCAGGGACTCCAGGATCATGACCTGAGCCGAAGGCAGTCGCTTAACCAACTGAGCCACCCAGGCGCCCAATATAGAGATATTTTAAAGGAAGCGATGCTGTTTTGTAATTTTTTTTTGTTTTCCATTCGTCTTCACTTAAATTTTCTGATTATTTTTCCATGCCATTAAATATTTTCTCATAATTTCTAATAGCTGCATGATATTCCATTGATAGACATTTACTGCTTCTAATTTTTTTACTCTTCTAAACAATGCTCCAGTGAATATCTTTAACTAATACATGGTTTTTTTGTTTGTTTTTGTTTTAAGTAGGCTCCAGCATGGGGCCAACATGGGGCCTGAACTCACGACCCTGAGATCAAGACCTGAGCCAAAATCAAGAGTTGGATGCTTAACCACTGAGCCACCCAGGCACCCCTTTGCTAATAATACATGTTTGTGCAGTCATGAATATTTTTAGACAAGTTGCTGCACAGTTTAAGTGTTTTACTATTATGCCAAAATTCATTGTTATCTAATCCACACTTCCATCAGTAGTATATGGGAGTACTTCTCTCCCACCTGTGAAAACACGTGAAAAGTAACTTTGTCACAACCATTATCAGTTCTTTGTGCACCCTCTCAAAGACAGTATAAGCACAGAGAAAGTACATAAGAATATGTGTGTCGTTGACTTTTTAAAAAAATACAAATGGTAGCATACTCTATACATATTTTGTTTCTCACTTGAAATATTTCAGGCACAATATTTTATCATTATCTAAAATCTACCTTGTTCCTTTAAAACAATGAATATCCACTGATAGATATATTAATTATGGGCTTTAGGCCATTTCCCATTTTTGTTTCAATAAATATCACTGAACATAATTTTTAGTTCACCTAATCCCTAAGTTCCTAGAAGCAGAACTGCTAAGTCATACTAAAACTCCTGCCACCTATCAAAGCACTTGTTTTCTTTCAAACCCTCATCAAAGCACATTGTGAAATTATTTACCTTTGCCAGTATAACAGGTGATAGTCACATATTATTATAGCATTATTTTATATTTCTCTTAGAAACATCTTTGAAAAAGTTCATTTTCTGTGAACTGTTAAGATCCTTGGTCCAGTTTCCTACTGTCTTTTCCATTGGTAGAAGCAGGAGAATGATTCTGGAGCAACTCACCAGCTGGCTTTTCAGGATCAAGCTCTTCACAGAACTTCCAGAAGTGATAGAAATCTTCAGGCAGAGAAAGCTTATAATGATTTTCTACTTCTTTTCGAAGGTCACTGGAGACATCAGCTTCACAGGATTTACTCTTCTTCACATCAACTGTTTTTTCACACTGAAAATCAGCATACAAAACTTTGTTTCTCCAAAAGTTAACACTATTGCTCATTTTTGTTCACCCAACTCTGAGAAACATGTTTTCCTTAAAACTCTACAAATGGTACTTCTGAAAAAATCTGGGGATTCTTTTGGGCAAAGAAAAAAGGAAAACAGTGTAATACAGAGCAGTCAAGAAGGATGCACACGGCAAGTCTTTAAATGTTTCTCTAAGATAACGGAAACCGAAAATAAAAAACAAGTATAAAAGAAAAGGTGAAGAACAGGAAGAATAAGGAATAGGAAGGTTTTGCCTTCTTTGGGTAAATAGGTCATCATCCTTTTTTGTTTAAATAGATTCAGTGATCACACCAGAAGCCAACTGTCAGAAATAACTGGATAAAAGGGGATTTACCAGCTAAAATAATTATTTCAGAAAAGGCCCTTTAATGTCAGGACTAGGTTATTAAACTCAATCTCTAATATTTCTGCAATATGTTCATTGTGTAAGTACACTAGGTTTTATAATGCCTATTTGATAAATTTCTATGAAGATAAAATGCTGATGGGTGCCTGGGTGGCTCAGTCGGTTAAGCATCTGCCTTCGGCTTGGGTCATGATCCCTTCCCAGGATCAAGTCCCATGTCAGGCTCCCTGCTCAGCAGGGGGGTCTGCTTCTCCCTTTCCCTCTCCTCCTTCTCTCTCTCTTAAATAAAATCTTAAAAAAAGAGATAAAATTCTGAGTTGGAGGTTACATATCTGTAGTTTTGTAAGTAGCAATCAGTTTTCTCTTTCTAGGAACCTAGATCCTTTCTTTTTGGATTAAGTTTCTTCCTTTTTATTCTTCCTTTCCACCTGTATCAGTGCTTCTCAACCAGGAGTGATTTTGTCTCCCAGGGGACACATGCAGTAATGTCAGAACTTTTTAGCTCTCACAAATTTAGGAGAGGGTGCTGACATTTAGTGGAGTAGAGAGAGGCCAGGGATGCTGCTACTAAGCATTCTGCAATGCACAGGGTTAGCGCCCTTAACAAACACTTAATCGGGCTCAAAATGTCTATAGTGTGAGGTTGAAAAATTCTAGATGTTTCCCATATTTATATTCTTCCATTCTCCCAGCAGGCTCAAGTTTATTGATGTTACTTTATGTATCAAAGTCTACCAATATATCTATGAATTTGATGACATACAAGAATGTTCTTGGATAACACTGTTTCTAAGAGCAGAAAAGAGAACAAATGAAAATGCCTATTGACAGGAGGATGCAAAGTTAAAGGATTTCAAACAACTGAATATTCCGCTTAGTGAAAAGGAAATAGAGCCACACAATACAGATCAGTCTTAATAGTATACTGTTGAATGAAGGAAAAAGGTCCTTGAAGTTTATATGTAGCACGATAGCCTTCTTAAATTCAAAAACAACAAATACTGTTTGTGATAAAGCTATAAAAAGGAGGCAAGGGAAACAAGGATGAGGATGGTAGCTACATAAAAGGGGGTGACAGGAAGTTAGGCAGAAAAGATAGGTGAGGAACACATGTAGAGCTATTTATTGTCAGGGTTTTAGTTCTGGGGTAGGGCAATGGGTTCACAGGTGTTTTTTATATTATTAAATAAGGTAAAAGAGGACCATGCATTGACCAATAAACAGTTTATTATGCCAAGGATTATAATGTGTCTGAGGTCATAAAAAAATTAAATTGAACAAAAAGCCTGCTGAAATATGGATGCTGATAGTAAGTAACAGTAAAAACTGTAAGTAATAATACTAAATAATAGTTATTACACACTTACCATGTGCCAGGTCATTGTTCTAAGCACTTTCTGTGAATTAACTCATAACTCCCTTATGAACTAGATACTATTATCCACATTTTACAGATGAGAAAACTGAAGTAACTTTCCTTAGGTCTAGAAAGTGGAGGAGCAGTTAAACCCCAGTGGGCCGGCTGCAAAGCACAGATTCATCCACTTAATGCTGCTTCTCCAGTTACATACAGAACAGTAGGAACATATCAAGTGCTGAGCTATCCTCCATTATGTTTTTATAGCAGTCTTTGGTTAGGCTTTCAGACTGGTTCAAACTTAAGATGTTAGAAAGAAAAGCCTTAATCTATCTTGCTGAAAGGCAGTTTTTCCTAATGACTCTTGACCCTTCTTCTTTCCAGCTGTCACCTTGGGGAAGTTACTTAACCTGTGCCTTATTTTCTCATCTACAAAAAGGACGTGTAGTACCTATATCACAGGGTTGTTAGGAGGAATAAGTTGTTGGTAAAAACACACAGAATAGTCGTAGCACATAATACTGAAATGCTAGCTTTAGCTATGGCCTCTATAGACTAATTTTCATCTTTGGGTATTTTATTTCTAATACTATCACTCAGTCAAAGCAGTTTATAGCAACTTCAATGGGAAATAAAGATTTTTTCAGCTTTGTCTTAACTCACACATTATTTCAGCATCCTCAAATCCCCAATAACTAGAATTTAGGGCAGCTGTCCCCTTCATAGGCTATACTCATCCTTTATTCTTTACCTAGAAAGCATGTCCCAATATAAGCAATGTCCAGAACAGGGCCCTCTAACAGTTAATTAAGCTCCCTGACACTGTGACATTGTCCTGCTCTATCCAGTTTATAATACAGACGGAGTAATTCTGAAAACTGTCCTTATCACAATGACACTTCTCTCCTGCCTGACTGTCCTAATTGCTACAGCAGTAGTTATAGAACTTCTGAAATCGTATAAAAGAAAGTATGAGAACGTGCACATACTTTATGCCCCCCTCCCCCTCATTAGTGCCTTTATGATCAGGTCCTTCTTTCCCATCTCCGACTCCAGCCAGGCCCAATCCCGCTGTACCCAAACATCCTCTATACTTATTTCTATTTCTTATCCCTTATGTCTCCTTTCTGCCTTCAAGAGCCATGTCCAACTTGAATTGTCCTAAAAGATTTCTTTAGCAACCCCCTGGGACTTAGATCCTCCTTCAGTGTTTCCACGGCACTTCTGACACAACAACGTTACAATGCCAAACAAAAAAATTTACAGTAAAATATATATTCACTGTGCCCAGCTTCCGCGGGCTGGGGGCTGTACGTGGGGCAGTGGCGGCACGATGCATCTTGAAACCGCGGCGCCCGGCACAGTGCCTGGCGTATAATCGGTTTCCAATCAATTTGTTGATGGTTGAACGAATGAAACATTGGTTGTCTTAATCGGTTTCCCCAGGAACCGCACCGGGAGGACGGCAGAAGATGCCAAGGCGCTAGTTCTTTGCTCCAAACCCCAGCAGAGCGGGAAACAGCGGCCCTGGCTCAGACCTCCGTTCCGGGGCACACAGCAGCCACTCAATGATTACTGGATAAATGCAACGTGCTGCCCCTTGGTGCCTTATCACCCAAAGCGCCTTGCGCATCCCACACATCCTCTGTAGCAGTACCTGCTGCCCCTCCCCGCCGGGCCTGCGCTTCCCGCCGCCGCCGGCCATTCTGTAGCTGCCGTGCCAGCGAAATCCCGCGTCTCGCCGTTGCTTCCGAGCGCCGCCGACTGCTTCCGGTTCAAGAGACTCCCATCTGAGTCCCTGCGCAGCCGCGGCCGCGCCAGTAAAGGGGAAAGGCTTCGCCTGTGCCCTGCCCCGCAAGGTCCGAGGCGGGGCCGGCGAAGCTCCGCCCACTCGCGCGCAGGGTCTGAGGGCGCTGCCGCTGGCACGCCGCCTCCCTGCCTCCCCGCGCAAGTTATCGCTGGGGGTGCTCCTGAGACCCCAGAGTCCTGAATTTGGATCCGTTAAGGTGGTCCGGACGTCCTTCTCAGGTGTTTACTAGTGGCAACACTGGGCCTCACCCAAACCCTCGTTTTTCCTTGATTTGTGTATATTTAAAAGATTAATCCTTATATTCCTCTTTTCCATCTCTCCCTCCTCCACTATGCTGTTATTGCCTGACACTAATTCATCCTTAATTATCTCTCAGAAGGAAATCAGTTTCTCTCATTGTTTCTTTGTAAATCTTGTTACAATTTGGATCGTGTTTTCTACACCAGAACCATCAACATCAGCATTCTGAGGAGAGCTTGTTAAAAATTCGGAATCTCGGGCTCTATCCAGACTTACTGATTCAGAATCTGTATTTTAGCAAGATCTCCCATTGATTCCTTCTTTTTTTTTTTTTAAAGATTTTATTTATTTATTTGCGAGAAAGACAGAGAGCATGAGAGGGAGGAGGGTCAGAGGGAGAAGCAGACGCCCCGCCGAGCAGGGAGCCCAATGCGGGACTCGATCCCGGGACTCCAGGATCATGACCTGAGCCGAAGGCAGTCGCTTAACTGACTGAGCCACCCAGGCGCCCCTCCCATTGATTCCTATGCACATCAAAGTTCCAGAGGCACTGCATTCAAATAATCTCCTGGGATTTCCTTCACTGTCATTCTGGAAAGTGCTCTGCTTCATTCCTGAGAAGATCCTCTATTTCCTGAATCTATCTTCCCTTTACTTGCTTTGATACCACCATTTTGTGGAACATAATCCCCCAAGAGTTTCTTGACGAATGTTGCAGGCAGGTGCCTCCCCCCCCCTTTCATTAGAACTCGCATGTCTTAACTGTCTTTATTCTAACAGTATAGAATTCTCCGTTGAAAATAATTTTTAGTCAGAATATTAGAGGGTTTGTTTCACCGTGTTTTAGCTTCTAGTATTGCCACTGAGAAGTCCTACCTTATGATTCCTGTTCTTTATAGGTGACTGACATTTTTCTTTCTTTCTTTTCTTTCTTTCTTTCTTTCTTTCTTTCTTTCTTTCTTTCTTTCTTTCTTTCTTTCTTTCTTTCTTTCTTTCTTTCTTCCTTCCTTCCTTCCTTCCTTCCTTCCTTCCTTTCTTCCCTTCCTTCCCTTCCTTCCCTTTGTTTTTTAAACAACACAAATTTATTGTCTTACAATTCTGGAAGCCAGAGTACAAAATCAGTCACACTGGGCTGAAGTCAAGGAATAGGGAGACATTTACCTACTTCGTCCTCAGGTGACTAATTTCTTTATGTGTAACCTGTTTCTGTTTTGTTGTGTCTCAAGAAGTTTTAGGTCTTTCTCTTTATTCCCAGTGTTTTCAGACACAATCACGTATCTTGGTTATGGGTGTTTTCTCATTTTTATTGAGCTGGTGGTATTAGGTTGGCTGTTTTTCATCTTGAAACATATGTCTTTCAGTTCTGGAAGTTTTTCTGGTATTATTTACTTAATAATTTTCTTTCTTCTATTTTATGTTCTTCCGTTTTGCAGTTTTTGCTGGTATTATTTAGTTGCTAATTTCCTCTTTCTTTCCCCTCCCTCACTGTATCTCTTCTTTTTTGGAAATTCGTTATTCAGATGTTTGATCTTGAATTATGTTTTTTCTTATTTGTCTGTTCTATTTTCTGTCTCTTTTGTCTTCTTGTTCCACTTTTCTGGATGATTTTCTCAATTTAATTAGACAAATGTTATATCAAATTATTTTTTTTTTATTATATAGGCATGCCTTGGAAATACTTTGGGTTTGGTTCCAGACCATGGCAATAAAGCAAATATGGCAATAAAGTGAGTCAAATGAATTTTTTGGTTTTCTAGTGCATATAAAATTATGTTTACACTATACTGTAGTCTATTAAATATGCTATAGCATTATGTCAAAAAATGTACATCCCTTAAAGATAATTTATTACTAAAATATGCTATTTATCATCTGAACTTCAAGTGGAATCTTTTTGCTGGTGGAGGGTCTTTCCTTGATGTTGATGGCTGCTGACTGATCAGGGTGGTAGTTACTGAAGGTTCAGGTAGCTGTGGCAATTTCTTAAAATAAGACAACAATGAAGTATGCCACATCAATACATTGCTGAGTGAACTGGGGAGACCTCTGGGTCCTGAGGTCCCGTTGCTGGAGGCTACTGGTCTCATCACAAGAAAAGAATTCAAGGATGGATGGTTGAGTGGTGCATGTGAAGAGTTTGTTAATGAGAGAGTACACTCTCAAGAAGTGTGGGTGGGGTTTGGTCTCTATCCTTCTTTGACAGTTGTTAACTAGGGAGTGGAGTATTTATTATTTGGGAGCGGATTTTTGGGGGAGCAGGGTTTCATACCTTTTCTCCCTTGCTTGGTCAGGGTCTCTGGCCTTCTTTATCTTAGGCCTGTCTGGTTTGATCTGGCTTCTTGTGGCTTTGTTTGTGGAATGCTACCAGGATGGGTTTCTAACTTTTCTGATAATGGGCCTTGACTTACCCTTTGCTGGCCTCCAGGCATCCTGGTAAAGCCTAACTGACTGCCTACTCTAACATTCCCCCAAGGACTCTGGGGCCTTAAAATCTCTTAAGGGAAAATGGGTGACAGCCCTTCTGTAACTACTTCATGTTGGTGTGGGACATTGATCCTGACTGAGGGCTCCAGAAGTCCTTGTTATCTAAGTTTTAGGAAAACTGGATGGACAGTGGGGAGTAGAAGGAAGCTGTGGATTGTTCCTGGGGGTGTTGGCTGGTTTCATCTTCATGGGAGATGGGTTTGGAATCCCTGGCACATCATCATCTAGAGATGAAGTTGTTGGAGTCTGGAAGAGACCAATTTGACAAGAAAGTTAAACAAACAAGGTCCAAAAAGTACAAGTAGCAATATAACCACTAGTGGACCTAAAAGGGTCAAGAACCAGGTTATAGATGGAAGCACCCCACGTACAGCATTCTAAATATCATTAGTGGTATCAGCCCCTTAGGTCATTTGGTGGAATCATTTGGCTTGGTCATATAATTTTTGGATGTTTTCTTCTACCTGTCCAGTGCTGTTGATACAAGTGCCACATGTTCTGTTAATGATAGCACATACTCCACCTTATTCAGCCAATAAGTAATCCAAAGCCAGCCTGTTGTCCATAACCACATTGGCCAAAGATTGGTGTGGCTTGGCGAGATCTGAGAAAGTAGACGCGGTGGTAAAAGCTAGTTTATCTAATACTGCTGTCAGATTTCACAGGGTGATTACATGATGTGCAAATCCCCCCCAAGGGGCTAGCACCAAGGGTACCTACTATTCCAGCAAATGCAAGGCCTATTGCCCTTCAGGCTCTAGTATGGGGTTGGGTAGAATTTTATATGCAGACTCCTGGGGGAGCCACATACCCCAGGGTGTAACTGCCCTGAGGTTCGAGGTTATCAATGCAAAGAAACCTGTAGCCATACCGATTGCGTAAAGATTGATTCCTGTAGGGGGCGCCTGGGTGGCTCAGCTGGTTAAGTGTCTTACTTTGGCTCTGGTCGTGATATCAAGGTCCCATGGTCAGGCTCTGTGCTTGGCGGGGAGCCTGCTTCGCCCTCTCCCTTTGCCCCAAGCCCTGTTTGTGCTCTCTCTGTCTCTCTCTCAAATAAATAAATAAATAAAATCTTAAAAAAAAAAAGATTGGTTCCTGTAGGTTGTGAGGAGATAATTGGGAAGGGCACATAAGGTTATGGGATAACTCACTGTTTCCAGTTTCTGGAGCTGCTGGGCCCACCTGAAAGAGTTATTGTGTGTGCAATTGGTGTGTAGAGGTCCTCCTTTTATTCTGGGAAATTTATGAGCACAGTTGAGGTGGGTAAAATTAGAGTGATCATCAATGTGCTGTGGTGTCCCCCTGGGCCATGATCCAAAACATAGATATAATATTGGGGTTTTTTGTGGGTAGCTGGATCTGGCACAAACCCAATGGGTGATATCACAATCTGCATCCTTTTTCTTTCTTTTCTTTTTTTTAAGGTTTTATTTGTCAGAGATAGAGCACACAAGCCGGGGAGTGGCAGGCAGAGGGAGAAGCAGGCTCTCTGCTGAGCAGGGAGCCTGATGTGGGGCTCAATCCCAGGACCCTGAGATCATGAACTGAGCTGAAGCAGACGCATAACTGACCGAGCCACCCAGGTGTCCCTATTTTTATTTTCTAAGCAGACATACCACATTTTGTACTTAGCTCATTGAACTGTGACACTGGAAAATTGTTTGATGGTCCAAGAGTTTTTACTCTCTGAGGAGGTGCCGTTATTTGGCAGCTGACCCATCTTTTGGTTTGTCTTTGGTGTTATTTGGCAGCACAGACTCAGAACTTAAGTAAAAATTAATTCCTGAGATGTCTCAGGTGGTGGGATGGATTAAATCCACACATGTCCAATTTGGGCCAACAAGCATACCTTCTAGGGGAGAGGAACTAGGTCCAGTATAGTTTTTTTGGAGGAGAGTTATACTGAGAGAAAGCATGGGATAAAACAAGGGTAAGAAGGGTCTTTTTGAGGCTGTAAATGACAGATCCAACAGCTGGAAAGGTTATTCCCCTGGGAGATTATGTTGGAAAGACTTACGAGATAATTTTCCCTCTACCTCTGTAGACCTGCACAAGTTAGAGCAGTGATGAGAACAAGATGAAAAGGTGATTTTTAGGATCATGTCAGAATTAACAAGAAAATCAATCTAAAGGTCCAAGTAGGCAAAGGTTTGCAAGGAGTAGTATAAGAAAAATCCAGACAATAGCTAACAATACAAAACAGTTATTCATAGTAAGATGTTAACCAGTCATCTTTTTGAAGATATACGTAGATCTTCCACAGGCTTATAGGAATGGGATAGAATATCTTTAGTCTTTGGTTGTAGGGAGTCTGGAGCCACTGGTTTTATTCTAACCAACTGAGCCACCCAGGCGCCCTACCACTGGTTTTGTTCTAGACAAATTAATCCAGCTAGTTATGCCTTGAAGCTTAATTGCCATTGGGGTGCTAAGAAGAACCTGGTAGAGTCCCTTCCATTTGGGGTCTAATAGATCTGAAAGTGAGCCCTCCTTCCAGGTTTTTAAAAAAACCATGTCCCGGCTCTTTCTTAGGTATAGGCAAAACTTTGTTGCCATAGTCTATGATAGCCTGCTGTACCTGTCCTAGATTAATTAAATGTTTTATAATTTCATAGGTTTCTGAATCAAGCAACAGATCTGCTGTCAAGAAAGTTCTCCCATATAACATTTCAAAAAGGCTGAGTTGGAGGTCTGTTTTTGGGGCCATTCTCATTCTCAAGAGGGCTATGGGCATGAGTTTTGTCCAGGATTCTGAGGTTTCCTGGCAAAGTTTGGTCAAGATTTTTTTTTTTTAAAGAATTTATTTGTTTATTTGACAGAGACACAGTGAGAGAGGGAACACAAGCAGGGGAAGAGGGAGAGGGAGAAGCAGGCTTCCCATGGAGCAGGGAGCCCGATGTGGGGCTCCATCCCAGGACCCCGGGATCATGACCTGAGCTGAAGGCAGACGCTTAACGACTGAGTCACCCAGGTGCCCCTGGCCAAGATTTTTTTAAGGGTTTTGATTAGCCCAACCTTTCCTAAGGATTGGAGTCTCCAGGCAGCTCTAGAGGTGCTAATGAATTCTCAAGGCAGAAGACAGATGTTGAGTAAGCTTTGCAATAAAGGATGGACCATTATCACTCAGCAGAGACGTGGGAAGCCCAACTCAGGATAATTTCCTTTAGTAGGGCTTTTTACTACCTCTTGAGCTTTTTCTGTTCTAGCAAGCTAAGCCTCTATCCAACCAGTGAAGGTGTCCACAGAGCACAGGAAGTATTTATATCCCTCATATGGGAGCATTTGTGTGAAGTCTATGTGTCAGTCCTCTCTAGGGTGTGTGCCTCACCTTTGGATGAGCTGGAGGAGTGGAGGTGGCCTAAGCCTTCCCCCAGAGGTGTTGTTGCAACATAGATCTGGTGACTTCCTTCATAACCCGTGACAGGCCAATTCCTAAAAAGACTAACAACTAAGGAGATTAATGGGTCTCTTCCCAAATGAGAGGAGTTGTGTATTCCCTTGATGATTTTCCATTGGGATGCTTGGGGAAGCATCACCTTTTGGTATTATGTCCACCATCCCTCAGAATCTAGTTGGTAGCTGTTGTGCTGAGCCCCATTTATTTTCCTTTCTGTATATTGGGGCCTTTGTGGGAAGATTGGCCCATGAGGGAGTAAGGCTGCCTGTACTGGGAGGGCTTCCAAGGCTGCAATTTTAGCCACATTGTCTGCTCAGTTGTCTCCTGCAATAATATCAGTCTTTCCCTTCTGATGGCCTCTGCATTGGATTACAGCCCCTTCTTTAGGCTCCAGTACTGCTTGTAAGAGATCAAGGGATGTTGTATGGGGAAAGTTTTGACAGTTAAAAGCCCCTTTTCTTTCCAAATGGCAGTGTGAGCATGGAGAACAAGAAAGGCATATTTAGAGTCAGTGTAATGTTAGCTCTTTTGTCCTTTCCTAGTTTTAAGGCTCTAGTTAAGGCCATAAGCTCAGCCTTTGGTGCCACTGTATGGGGGACAGACCTCCTGCTTCTGTGACCTGGTGAAGGTCTACCACGGCATGGCTGGCCCCTTTAATCCTTCCTTTGATAGAACTGCTGCCATTGGTAGACCACATACCGTCTGGGTTATCAAAGGTTGGTCTTTTAAATCTGGCTTACAGGAATAGACCTGTTCTGTGGTTTCCACACAGCAGTGAGTAAGTTTTCATCTCCTTCAGTTGGCAGAGTAGCCAGGTTAGGAATTTGACATAGTTTAAGGATCACC